GTTAATGGTCTCAGTGTTCTTCCGTCCATCCACTTCCGAGCATTGACACCGTCGCGCCGCTGTCCTCCCACTCAGAATGACAGTGATAAGCTGCGGGTGCGACTGCGCGCGGCACATCACTTTTTCCCCATTCTCACCGCTCTCTTCGCCTCCGCGCGGGCTTGGGCGCGCACACAACATGCCATCAGGGAGGGATGCCGACTCGTGCACAACACTCACGCACACCCCATCCACCTCCCACTGCCACAAAAGCGCAAGGCAGCAACAGCCATGAGCCAAAGCACACGCACACACACACACAAAAAAAAAAAGAGGCATACATGGACCCCATCAACCACGCTCATAAATACTGCAGAATATATATATAAATAACGCAGCTTTATATATTCTTTATTTGACTGTAATAAAGGCCATATATACATTTAACGGTGGTGTCCTTTATTATTTTTATTGTGTTATCTATTTGTCCTCTTCTCTCCTGGACTTCACTGGCCTTCTGGTAACGGTGACGGTCACCGTATCCATGGGCTAGCAAATCCAGAGAGAGATCAATTGGAAGCTCTGCATAGGCATTCACATGGACTTGCGTGATTGCGTAGTGGTAGCTGTGTAAGAGCTTCCTATGCTTTTTCCTTTTCTTCATGCGGAAGTCTGCGGCAGATAGTGGATACAGTTGCGCAGGAACAATCTTATCGTTCATTTTCTTCTGCCCCAATATATTTTTGTACACATATCCTGCAGCATTTACGAGTGATAAAAAAGTGGGGTGTAAGTAAAATCAAATTAGTAAAAAGATAATGTCATTGGTGATAAGAATTAGTAAAGACATATAAAACAAAAACAAAAAGGGGAGGAGATTTGGTTGCGCTTCAGGTAATCGAGTGAACAAGCAAAGGCAAAGTATAGCAGCTGAGAATGGAAAAGTAGAAAATTCAAAGGGGGATGACGGCACACTCTCTGCAGGAAAGAGGGAAAAAACAATATCTATAGCAGACGCTTGTTGGCGCGCGACTTTTTGCTCATGCACCCACACATTTGCCTTCTTTTTATTACCGTCAGCTCGCCACATACCCACACGTACTGCACAGTAGAGGCAATGAACCGTCTCACTCAGCAGCGTAGCGACGAGGTCTTGATGATAGTGGGAGTGGTAAAAAGTAGTGGTGCTGGCGGAAAACCTATGCTTGGAAGTCTGATACACACCCGGTCCCCACAGCAAATAAGCACACGCCAATCTTCCTTTTTTTACACCTTCAATTTTGCTCGTTTACCGTCTCGTCGCCCTGCCATCCGTAAAACCAAAAACAAAGAAACACCATATTATTAATAATAATAAGCAAATAGTAAAAAAAAAAACTAAATAATAACAACAAAAAGGTTTGTCGTCATGGAACAACTACTCTTCAGCGGCAGCAAGTCTCATTTTTTCACAAACCCATCTTTTTACACCGCATGCGCGCGTGTGTGCGCCGCTGACTTTATCTGGATTATTTTATTCTTCTTCTTTCAAAAGTCATCTGCTCCTCGCGCGTGTTTTTTTGTTTCTTTTTTTCCGTTTTTCGTGTTTTATTCTTCTACTGTTGTCCGCCCACACTCACACATGCCCCACACATTGCACAACTCCGGTTGCCACCTCCAACGCACTACAAAAGTAATTAGAGATGCGCAAGCAGGATCTGATGCTTTAAAAGGCAATAAGCAACGCAAAGTGGCAAATCAACATCAACAACAAGATCAAAACCAAAAGAGTAGGAGATAAATAGTACTCAAACACAACAAAACATTATATTATATTATATATATATATATATATATATATATACATGCATACGTATATGTAAAAAAAAAAGGATAAAAATAAACTGGTGTGTATATATGACAATACGAATGAAAGCAATGGTAAGCGAGGGATTCACCGTGTATGTGTGTGCGTGTTGTGTGCAGGAAAGTGAGAGCGTGGGAGAAAAACAAAAAGGAAGAGGGGTTCGTGCTAGAACAGAGGTCTCCTTGCATTGATCTAATGCAGTGAGTCAGAAGAAGAAGCAAAAAGATGACGTACAAAGCGGCAGTGCAAAGCACGTTGACCTCCTTTTTCCCCTTGCTTGTAGATTCTGGTTCACTTTTGTTACCCTCCTTTTCCCTCCACTACACTTGAACCCTGAATGGAATTTGTCCCTCCCCACGCCTCCACTCCAAACGACAGATAAACACAAGACGTAAAGCACAAACGTCCTTCTTGAAAGCAAGTCATTAACAAAAAAGTCCATAGAACAAAAAAAAAATGGAAAAGAAAAAGCATTAAAAGCAAGGCAACAGAGCAATTAAAACAAAAAAAAGTTACACCTTTCTATTCATCCACCCATACGGACCCATGAAAGGTTGTAGGGGTCGTGCCTCCACTTGCCTGCACTGAAGCAGCGGCAGCTTGTCGACAGACTCATTGAAGAGTTACTGGCCCCCTCGTCACGGCTGGATGCAGCCATGGAATCGGACACTGTCCCCCTAATTAAAAGGGACGACCCCCGGCAGCCCTTGCAGGGTCTTCCACCTCGCAACTCGGGCGTGGACTCTTCCGCGCCTCCGGGAGCTTCCTCAAAGCGGCACGGGCCGTCACACGAAACGAGAACACGTGACGACAACTTCCGTCGCACGTCCAACCTCTGTTTCGGCTGCTGAATATCACTGTAACTCAGGGAACACAGTGTGGATACTGCGGCTGGCGTGTTAGGACTTTCCTTTGTTGACATCTCACAGCTCTGGCCAAGCGAACTTGATTCACGCAAAGGCCCCATCCACGAAGTATTCTCACCATTCCGGTATAATGAGTTTGCCAGCGAACTATGTCCACTTGTGCCGCCTCGTTGAACCAATGGAAATCCTCGCACAGAAGACGGACAAGCCTGAGACGCCTCAGCAAGCCCTGTGGAAGGTGACAAAGGCGCCATGTTTAACATGTTTTGTTCATGCGGCTCAGACACGTTGCAAATAGATTCCTTTTGTGTAACCTTCAGACGTGATCGACGGCCAAGAGGAAGCTGTGGGTTCATTGCCGCAATCTCCTTGCACAAGTGCAGAAAACTGCACTCCTCCGCGAAGCGACAGCGTTCCTTGACGTGAAGGCGACAAATGGGTATGTCCCCTGCCCCAAGTACAATAAGTGGCGAACCTTCCGGTGGTGCAGAGCCTTCATGTGCAGACTGTCCGTAAGAATCAAGCGCACGAACAACGTCGGAGTCCAGTTCATTTAGCATCTTGGAAATGGGCACTGTGTAACCAATGCGGCTCAATGGAACATAGCCACCCTCAAAGCTTACTTCAGGGATGTATAGCACCACCTTTGAAAGCCATGAGCGCTCATTCAGCACACCAGCGATGTCATCGTCACCGTGAAATGAGCAACACCGCGGAAGATTCCCCACGTGACCTCGCAGTACCACAACCGTATCCACGTTCGCATGAACCTGGTGACACAGAGTGCCTTGGCGGCACCGACCTTGAAGAAAGAGCTGGCACAAGCTTGGAATTGCGGCACGTTGCTGTGCCCGTGTGGGGTATATGCAGTCGCATGGGATCAGAAGCTTTCGGGTGGCAGGGTCCACGACCACCATACAAAGTGCACCATCCGCGTTGTTGGTGTACCCCTCCTTGCCTTCAATTAAAGGAGGCAAAGAACACATTGTTACCGGCGCGGTATTCCTTTTATCAACGTGAAGTAGCAATTGTTTCACAGGTGCAGTATGGATATAGATATAGGCCTGCTCCTTTTATTTTATTTTTTTGCACTGGATTCCCAAGCAGACTTAAAAGTGGTTCGTTTGTGCTCGTCGTGTTCTACTTCTTGCTATCACACACGATGGAGGTGGGAAACGAGTGTGGAAAAGGAGCGTCACTACAAAGACAGAGAAATACACAAAAGAAACAGAGTCCATAGTTAAAATGTAAAATGCATACACATCCATGCAAATACGCGTTGAACAAGAAGCAAAAACAAGAAATCCCGGCAGCTACAGATTCATCTACCCAACTTTAACTCCTCTCTTCATTTTGTTTTCATACCACACTTTCTCCTTTTATATCACAATATGTCTCCGAGAGTGAATGTTCCCGGTATACACGCCATACCCCGGTCAAATCAAAGGTGAACCTTCTTCGCTCACTCGTTCGTGCGGGTTGGGCATATGTACTCTGTTTTAAGGTGTCCTATCATAGATTATTATTTTTTGCTTTGCTTTCCCGCACCCAAGACCCCTCTTTGTTTAAAACTGCCACGGCGACCTCCTCTTGTTTTGCTCGCCCACCAGTGTGTTGATACATGAGCTGCACCCGTCAATTTTCATCCGCCAACGAAGCCCGGGACGCCGCCCTACTGGTGGTGCAGCGTCGACACCCCCTCTTCAAGGGTCAGCGCCTCGTTACAAGGAACAGAACCCGCCTCTGCAAAGACTCGGAGGAACTTTGGGTTCCCCAGCATGGTGGGCGCGTCCACGAGCCGTTGCAAAGAGGTCCAATTCACTGTTTCGCCTTGGCCCCGTCTTGCAACGCGCTCACCATCCGCCACGGCGAGCGCAACGGCTGCGTGATCCGCACCAAAGCGGATCACGCGATGAGCAAACATCAAACAAAAATGCCGCTTGGACCAGTTCAGCTGCGCAGACACTTTAAAGACCCTTCGGCGGCGGCTGCTGCCCGCCTCACCCCGGAAAGTGTGGGGAGTGCCGTGGGCAGCGTACGATGCATGCCTCTACACATAAATGCACTTGTCCCTTCAAAACACTCTGCCTTGCGAAAAATTACACGTCATGATAAACTTGGGATAAGAAAATAGCATTGATGTATTTTACCAGAAACACGCCACGCCAGACCTTTTCCTTATCGCAGGCGTTCCCCGAAACGAAAAAAAAAAGGGGGGGGGGGGGGGGGGGGGTTATAAGTGAATCAAGTACTGCTGCTCCTCTTGTATCACCTTATGTTCTCTCCCTTCCCTCTCCCCTCATTTTCCACCCTTGCCAGACGCTCGAAAAAAAAGCACAAAATTAAAACAACCAGGCAGCCAGAAAAGAAAACAAAAAAAAATTACGGTACTTGTTCGAAGAAACGGCAACAACAACAGTATGAACGAAAATTGAGGGAAGTCGATACTGTGCGCTGATGGGAGGAAGAGAGGGAGAGAGGGAGAGATGGAGAAGGGGAGAGAGCAAGTGGCAAAACCACGGAAAAAAAATGGAATGGGATGAAAAACATCCAACGACCAAAAGAAAAAAAAAAAAAAAAGGGAAAAAAGAGAGGAAGCAAAAAAAGAAGCTTGAATCGTCCCTTTTTTATGTAAAAGAAAAGGAAGAAAGAAGCGCATAACAGAAGCTGAAATGAACACAACAGAAGGAACGAAAACAATGCCC